CTTCAGCGTCAGCAACATCATCAATTACATGAAGCAACGCAACGTCTTCAAAATTCATCTTATAATAATTATAATTATTACTAGTGTCAAAAAATATAAATAACCAGAAATATTTTTAGGTTATATTTTTCACACGATTGACGTGTTCTCCTACTAAGGATCAAGCGATGTTCCCTTCTCTTGATATTGTGGGATGGGATAAGTCACATTTTTGGAGAATACGCAATTTTATATTTTGACATGATATCGGCAAGCTCCGCCCACTTTCTCACGATATGACCACATCGCACGATTCGAGTATAACCACCCTGGAGTCAATGATGACTCCTAGATACTTGACTGATTTGGATGGGGTCAGTCTTGATCCAAAGAGCGTGAGCCCCTCAAGGTTAATGTTTCTTCGGTTGGTGAATGGTACTACTTCTGTCTTATCCGGATTGACGGATAGTCCGTGATCGTTGCACCACCTTTCGACCTTATTAAGAGCTCTTTGCATGATCTCTTTAATAGTGTTTGGTACCCTTCCGGCTACGACGATGACGAGGTCGTCCGCGTAGCCTTGAGTGTATATGCCTTCCTCGTTTAGGATACGAAGTAGCCCATCCAGCACTAGGCACCACAGCAAGGGCGATAGTATTCCTCCTTGCGGGCAGCCTCTGGCTACGGTTGAGCTGATCTCCGTAGTTCCAATCGAGCTTGTAATGATCCTGCTTTCCAGCATGACACGGATCCATTTGACAATGGTATTCTCTATGCCAAAGCCTTCTGCAGCTCTATTTATCGACTCGAAGGAGGTGTTGTTGAAAGCTCCTTCAATATCTAGAAACGTGCCCAGAGCCATCTCTTTAGGACGAGTCCCTCTATCTAGTCTTGTCACAAGGCTGTGAAGAGCGGTCTCCGTCGACCTGGCTGTTCTGTAGGCGTGTTGATTGGGATGCATGGGAATTCTTTTTAGTGCCCCGTCCCTAATAAATATGTCCACCAGTTTCTCCATAGTTTTTTTATAGTCCTTTGCCGTATCGTAGTTACAACGTCCTGGCTTGGGGATGAACACCACTCGAACCTTTCGGTGTCAGTGGTTCTAGTCCCTTTTGTAAGAGAGCCGGAAAGATGCCATCTGGTCCCGCGCTTTTAAAAGATCCAAATGAGTGGATGGCCCACTTTATGGAGCTTTCTGTCACTACCTTTGCAGCTAACTTCCAGTCAGTCGGTGTTACGCCCGCTGGTGGAGCCCGCCTTGGTGGTTCAACAGTTTGCAGGATTTTTGAGCCTGGAAAGTGAGTTTCCAGGAGCCATTTAAGTGCCTCCCCCGCGGTGGTGCTATAGTCACCAGAGGGAAGCCTTAATGTCCCCAGCTCTCGTCCCGGATCCTTTGAGAGAATCTTTTGAAGCCTGGCGGCTACTGAAAGCTCGTCAACGTTACCGCAGAACGTCCTCCACGATTCCCTCTTAGACCTTCTTATAAGATCTTTGTACCTGCGCTGAGACTGCTTGTGGCTGTCCCAATCCGCAGGCGATTTAGACCGCATGGCCCTGTTAAAGAGCCTGCGGGTTTCCTTGCGAGCCTTATCGAGGTCAAAGTTCCACCAAGGGGTTTTCTTTTTTCCTCGATAGACCCGAAGCTGGCAGCTTCGTTCGTACGATGTGATGATTGCCTCCCGTACAAATTCGGCTGTTTCCTCCACTTGCCGAAAGCTGCGGCACGTCATGGAAGAGTCCACTAGCTTAGTCTTTAGCATCTCAACATACTGGTCCCAGTTAGTGTTCCGGGGGTTCCTGAACCTACTGAGCCCAGCATCGTGAGTTAGGTCTAAGCTAAAGAGAATGTGCCTGTGATCTGACAGGGATGGCTCTTCAGACACCTTCCACTTTCTTGTCATCGGGGCCAGGGAGAGGGAGCCCAATGTCAAGTCTATCACCTCTTGTCTTCGTGACGTGACAAAGGTCGGTGTAGTGCCGCGGTTTAGGATTTCCAGATCGGTAGTATGTAGATACTCCAAGAGGCTGAGCCCTCTCCGATTCGTGTCGGTGCTTCCCCACACCGTATGTTGTGCGTTGGCATCGCATCCGATGATCAGCGGGAGGCCCAATGTGCTGCAGTATTCCACTAAATCGATGAGCTCCTGTGTTGGAGAATCGTCTGTCGAGTCATAGGGCAGATAGGCCAAGCATACCACCAAGGATATGCTCTGTCCTGGTCTGTCCTTAAGGCATAGTTTCACCGCTACTAAGTCCCTAGAACAGAAATTAGCTATTAGTGAGGACTCGATCCGTCTGTCGACGTAGATACAAGCCCTTGGATTTAGTTGGTCGTCCCTCTTGTAGAAGAGAGATTTTTCCCATCTACCTAGGCCCCTTACGCGACCCTTGTATGACCAAGGTTCTTGTAGGAGATATATATGTGTCTGCCCCATAGCTATGTGACGATCTATTAAGAAAATCGCCCCTTTGCTATGATGCAAATTGCTCTGTAGAAATGAGGTCTCTTTATCCATGGTGGAGGATGGATATAGGACCTGATTTCTAGGTTACGGATCTGATTCGGGCGTAGACGTTCCTTCCGATAAGGGAGTATTGCTACTACCCTCCTCGGCTGGAGCCGTCTTTTTCTCCGGCGCCGCTGGAGCCTTTGCCTTCGTCATGAAAGTGACGACGGAGACCCCTGCGAACGCTTTAAGTTTTTGTCGTTGCAAGACCTCGGCTGAAGCCTCGTCAACTCCAAAAACCAGGAGAACCCTGTTCTTCTCATCTTTCCGGTGATACGTCCTCCACAGATTTGTCCTAAGTCCAGGATTCTGTCGGTTGAGTCGCTTAAGGATGGTGGGGGTGTCGTCTGGGAGACCTTGGACAGCTGCAACCATCTTAATTGCCCTGGGAATGTACCGCGCAGTGATGCCCCTTCCCATGGTCTGATCGAGGAGATGATCCCCTCCAGCCAGTCCAACGTCCACTGGTCTCCGCATTTAACCGTGATGGTTCCCTGCGACGACCAGCGAAACTGCTCAAACTGTGGGAATTAGATCAATGTGGGCGTTTAGTTTCCCCATGATGCTTTTACTCTGCTCTTCCGTGATCACCGCGTCCGGATAAGCATCCGGCACGATGGTCACCCCGAGACCAGCAGACGTTGCGGCGCTGTACGAAGCAGTCTCCTGGCCTCCCGATTTTACTCCGGAAGCCTTGGGCCTCTTTGCCAGCGTCCTTGCCCCCTTCGACTCAGGGGGATATTTACATACTTTCTTTTTTAAGGTTGGGCCACGCAAAACATGTCTAACGGATATTTTTCATATTGTTGCAACATTATAGATCACTGGATACACAGTTGTTGCAACGGTATGTGATTTGGGGCCAAATAACCAGGCATTTTTAAAATCAATGGGCTGTGAAATTGGCGTCAATTTTCCGCACATGATAAAATTGGTACAATATTCCTGGACACGAAATTTATCTTCACAGGCGCATGTATCTCCACCAAAAGCATATGGAGGTTAGTGCACCACACATAAGATAACTATAATCCCAGGACTAGTGGAAAAAATTCTGAAGGTGACAGGAACTGAGAGACAAAAGGTTAAGTGGGCGGTTAAGTGTTCTCAAATAGGGTAACCAAAGGTTTATTATTTTTGGGGAAAATGGGTCACTTACAAGAGGACCCATATTGGAGAGACACGGCAGAATTTATCCAGCTATGCAACGACTGGTTTGACGTTTTTAACTTTTAACAAGTTTGGACAGCATGATTTGGCCTTTGGGTAAACTTGGAAAAACAAAATGATTTTATTAATCGTATGACCGAGTTGATGGGAGGAATACGTGCCTTGGCTAAAAGAAAATCCCTCGATGCCTTACCAACTAAAAAGGCCGCCCTTCTTCCCTTCCAAAAGGGGATACTGTTAAGTAATAAATCCCTACAAAGCCTTCTGCGGTATTTTCCGGGAAAAATATTAGGCCTCACCCAATTCAATTAGATATATATTAACTAGGCCGTTGAATCAAGACATGAATGAGCAATCATATTCTACTCTTAGGGGCATGGGTACAGGTCATGATAAAATGTCTGCCCTAGAATTTAAATACAGACTAAGAAGTTATGTTTTGGGGCGCAATGCTGCATCAATACTTTCTGCCAATACAATGGACCCCACTGCAGACAATAAGCATGGTGATGAAATATTGGTGGAATTTTTTAGGTCGGAAGAACCTAGAATCTGTTGCAGAACAATCAACATTGAAATATTTTGATTTTGTAAATTTTAAAACAGATATCTGGGATGAAATGCCTTCCACATCAAAGTTATATCTATAAGTACAATGCTTATTGGTACTTGTGTATGTTTGCTTTATTAAATAGCCTTGTAGATTGCCTAATGTATTGCTAAATGTTTTGTATGTGTTCTCACCTGTTTTAGTTTCATCACACTTTAATTTGGTTGCATCAGAGGGGTATCTATAAATAATAATTGCTACTTGTGTATGTGTATGTTTGCTTTATTAAAATGGCTTTGTAGATTGCTTGGTGCCTTAAAGCATTCATGCATAATGCTTTTTTATATTGCTTTGCTATTTATGAAAATAAAAGTTCCTAGCAATAAATGACATCAATACAATTAAAAATGTTAAATTAAATTTTTTAATTTTTAAGTTTCTATTTTTAAAATTATTTAATTTTTTTAAAATTAAAGTAAGATAATGCACGAGGATAAGGTTTGCATCTCGAGTCATCAGACGAGAGACTCAAATCATCCGAGTGAATAATGTGGATAATCTCGAGTTTAATACTATAATTTATCTACTCCAGTAAGATAATAAAATGATTTTAAAAATTAAATAAATTAAATCTGACATCTGTCAAAGGATTAACCTTACTTTTTACCAATTTTAAATGTAATTATAGTCAAAATCGCAACTGTGCATTTAAAGAGACAGGTCGTTGTAATTCCCTGGATGATCCGGGGGGTGGCTCAGCTGATTATGACGTAAATTATGTAAATAGTGCTTTGATGGGCTCTCCTTCCGCGAAGGAGGCTGCTCATATTTTAGTAAAATTATGTGAAGATTCTAGATATAACCTTGACAATGAATTTTTTTCTCAACTAAATAAGTTGAAAGATACCCAAGCAGAGTTAAATGTAGCGGTTAAAAATGGTTTTATTATATATGATAATGGTGAAAGAGTAGATTTACCTTTGGGTAAGATTAATATTCTTTCCAATGTTAAAATTTCTGAACCCATGGAATTAACCAACAATGTTTTTTCAAAAGTCGATAACGGTAAAGCAGCAGAAAAAAGAGGCAAGAGTCAAGACAAAAACTTGACAGTCTTAAATATGATCTTTATGATACAGGCCCCTTTACTATAAACGTAGAAAGTAACAAAGATAGTTTAAACTATTTTAAAATGGGTAAAATTTTCTCAATGGAAGTAAACTCAGATATTTTTAGTCGCTAAAAGGGAAAAAATAGGTTAGCTCGGTACTTTAAAAATTTTGATAAGGCCAACAAATTTTTGGTTAATCAACTTTTTTTACAGTCTCATAATTTCAAGGCTTTTATTCCGAGACATTTGCAGTGCGTGCACGCGCGCCGGCGCAACATTTTGGGGGCGCAAAATCAAAGAGTCAATCAGTACTTTGTAACGATAAACTTTCTTGCAAATAAACAAATACTTAAACATACATAGGATAAAGGTTACCGCCTTTCTTTACGTCGGCCGCATGCAGTTTTTTTTTCGGCCGCTATAAAGCGCCTTTGGCAGCTTTGATATTGGCGGCTTAATTTTTTTCTTGATATGAGTTTCTAAATAAAAGGAGGGAAATTGTCATAATATTTTTTTCTACACCCGAGCGAAAAGTACAAATAAGCGCTTTCAAAAGAGAGCGCAAAGTTGCACTTTTCCTAGGAGCAAGCGTTTTTTTACTTTGTCGCTCGCCGAGCGACAAAGTATCCATACGCTCGCTTAGTTACCAAAGAAACCATAATAACGAAACGTCCAGTATATAAAAGTCAAATTTGAGGTTATCAATAATTATTAATTTTTACCAAACATTTTGGAAAAACTCTCGGGAGATCGCCGCGCTCCGCTAAGCGTCGCACTTCTCCCTCAGAGCGACACTTTGCGCTCTTAATACACAAATAGCTATAGTATTTGTTTGATAGTTGCAGTTGATCGTAGCAAAGTTTAACAGTTGTTTACATAGTATATGACTTGGTAACGATCTTACTCTCTAAAATTGAATAAAAATTATCGCCAACAGCAATTTGTATCCCGGACTTATGTAAAATTGTTGTCAAAAGTAATAAAAGTAAAACAGTTTTTGAGATATAGTCAATTTTCCATATAATATGGAATTAAATATATTTCAAAAACTGCTCTACTTTCATAATTTTTCGGATTCAGGGGACAATTTTACATAATAATAATCTGTTAAATGTCCGGGATGGATACAAATTGCTGTGGATTGCAGTTATTAGTGACTGCTTTTTCACTTTGAAAACTATTAGTATTATTACTACTCATTAGTCATTATTAGTCATTTTTGACTAATGCATTTTTCACTAAAAACCAGTTGTAGTTATTATATTGTTTATATGTTTTGTTTTCTTTAGAGTATTTTTATTACTAAATATTTTTTGTGATTTTGTTTGTGTGGTAATTTAATAAGCAGTTTTTTTACATTTTCAATTACATATTGACAGTTTGTTGCAAAATATATATTTTTTAAATTTTAGGTCTTTAAATTAAAATATTTAATGTATTATATTTAAATATAAAAGGGGCGCACTAGGAACGGGCCTGCATTTGATTATACCGTACCTTCATTTGCAAGCTAACCATAGGGAAAATACATTGTAACTGGACCAGATAAGTCTTAGTCAGCACGAAGCGAAAAACATACATCGATGCTTTATTATTGTTTTTTATTTTGTGCGGTGTAAATCTGGTAAAATTTGTTTTAGTACGCATGTCACGACGACGCATCCAAATCATTTCTGAAAAGGTTCTCGCTTTGTGTTGACTGCGACTTATCTGGTCCAGTTACAATGTATTTTCCCTATGGTTAGCTTGCAAATGAAGGTACGGTATGCAAAGGTCTCATTAGGAATATTAAAGTAGACATACGTGAGGAAGAAATCCAGAATAATATTAAGACTATGGAGAGATCAAGAGAAATAATTAATATTAGGAGAATTAAAAAAAAAGTTAAGAACAAAGATGGGATCAGTTCTTTAGTCAATACACCTCTAATTCTTTTTATGTTTAGCTGGCAACATGGCGAACTACAGTGAATTTTCCTCTGAGTTAACAAAATTAAAAAAATATATATTAATCGACATAATTTTAAATAAAAATGTATCAGACAATGTGCCCGTGAGTAAAGAACTAAAGGCATACATAAATGGTGACGAAGATGCAGAAGTTTTTACTGATGCAAACGATGTAAACAATCATAACCTGAAAAATAGTGCCGAGTTCATATGCGTCCAAAACAATGCGAAAATGCTAAAAGTTGAATTGGAGAACACCAAATCAATTATTAAAAACTTAGAAACTATGGTGAGTGACAAAGAATTAATTATTAATTTATTACGAAATGACTTACAAAGAAAACAGTGCGACGTTGCCAATACGAGTAATAAATCTCAAAATAAATCAAACCTACCGAATGCAGAAAAAGAACTCTCTTATTCTGAGTCAACATCTGCTGTAAAACCTCCAGCAGAAAGAATTAAGAAAACAAGCAATGAAATACAAAATAAAGCAAACAATAATAAAAAAAGTGTTTGGATCACAAACAAACGATAAAAATTTATTTAATTCGGCTCCAAAAAAGCGTTAATACATTTAGGCAGAGTGTCTTTAAATACAAAAAAAGAAGCCATTGAAGAATACGTAAAAAAAACTTTCAATATACAGGACGTTACGGTAGAACCTTGCCCAGTTCGAGAAAACGCAAAAGGTCTTTTCCTTATTAGACCAACTTTATAATGGTGATAATTGGCCTTCAGGAATTACAGTATCACGCTATAAGTTATTTCGAACCACAACACCTGGACAGTTTAAATAAATCAACAAAAACTAATAAACAAAATTATTTAATAATATCCAACATAAACATACAATGCATAAAAAATAAATTAGACAAATTGGAATTATGTTTAAATGATGGGAACATGGATGTAGTTTGTATAACAGAACACTGGGTAACTGAAAAAGAAAATATAGATAACTTAAAAATAAATAATTATACGGTAGCAGATAACTATAGTAGGGAGAAACATACACACGGAGGCTCATTAATATTGGTTAAAAACAATATTGATTTAAAAAAAATCCCTGAGATAAAAGCAGAATAAGAAGAAAAAAATTTAGAAGTTAGTGCAATTGAACTAATTAAAGAAAAAGCAATAGTAATAGCAGTCTACCGTTCGCCTTTGGGAAATTATCAAAAATTTTTATTAAAAATAGAAACTGTTCTAGAAATTTTACACAACTCACAAAAAAAACAAAAAGATAATATTTGCGGGAGATTTTAATGTAAACTTCTTAGTAGAAACAAAAGAAAGTAAATGTTTAAGAGATGTTTTTGCAACTCACAACTTTAAATTTATAATGAAAAATCCATCAAAAGAAATAAATCAAAGTTCAACTTGCATTGACAACTTTTTTGCAATTTTAAAATTAAGGACAACCTAACCCAAACAGTAAATCTTCATCTAGGCGATCATTATGCACAAATTATAAAAATTTTAGATGAAAACCATAATATAAAATGTACATCAATTAAAAAAACCATAAGGCGTTTAAACTCTCAAAATATTGACTTATTAAAAAAATCCCTAGCTACCCTTGACTGGAACAACATCTTAAATAAAAATCAGCAGCAGACTGTTTTACACGTTTTTTTGAAGAAATCTTGATTTTGTATAATAAGTGCTGTCCTGAAGAAGAAATAAGTTTTAAATTAAATAAACCACATAAACATACCTATATCACCCAAGAATTAAAAGACCTCAAAAATAGCCTGGATGCTCTAGACACCATTTTTAAAGTAAAAAAATAAATAGTCTTTTGAGGCCTATAAAAAAATTAAAGTAGTACAACGAAACTCTAACAAAAAAAAAGGAAAGAACATAACGAACAAACAATAACTAACTCACAAAATAAAACCAAAGCCATCTGGAAGGTTATCAACCAAGAGATAGGAAAACAAAAACCACCTATAATCCAGAATAAAATTGATGGCGAAACTATAAACAAATTTTTCTCAGAAGTTGGAGAAAAACTAAATGCAACTTTTTTAAATGATAATGAGCTTAGCATTGAAATTTTACAAAAAAATAAGGAAAGAGCTGTCTTTTCTTGTTTCTTTCATCCAGTTACCGAAGAAGAGATAGGAAAAATAATAACTACGATAAAAAGCAAAGAAACTAAAGATATATATGGTATGTCGACCAACTTACTTAAATCAATAAAGTTAAATATAATTTCTTCATTAACATATATAATTAATAAATGTCTTATAGAGGGAACATTTCCAAAAGAATTAAAAAGGGCCAAAATTATTCCCATTTTTAAAAAAGGCGAAAAGTCGGATCCAAGCAATTACAGGCCAATATCAATCCTTCCTGCAATATCAAAAATTTTTGAAAGCGTTATATAAAACAGGTTGATTAAATACTTTGAAAATAAAAATCTTCTTAACGAAAACCAATATGGGTATCGTCAAAACAGATCAACAACCACCGCACTGCTAGCAATGATCACTTCAATATTAGAGGCTCAGGATAACAAAGAATTCGTGGAACTCGTATCAAATGATTTATCCAAAGCTTTCGACTCTCTAAGTACCCAAATCCTTCTGGATAAGCTAAAATTTTATGGAATTTGGGGACCACCACTAAATTTGATTAAATCATACCTCGAAGACAGAAAACACTATACTGTAAAGTATGGTGTGCCGCAAGGATCTATATTAGGCCCAATATTATTTATTATATACATTAATGACCTAAAAATCCATAAAAGCAATGTCTGTACTTACCTTTATGCAGATGATACCACCTATTTAATAAAATCATTTAATGAAAAAGACTTAAAAGCAAAGAAACTAAAAACACTTGAAGAGTCAAAGACATGGTTTGAAGTAAACAAGCTAAAATTAAATGAAGATAAAACGCAACATCTTTATTTTGGAAAAAAGGAAAAGTATAATTTGAAGTTTTTGGGTGTAACCATAGACAACAAACTTACCTGGACAACGCATACGGAATATTTAATAAAAAGAATGTCTTCTGCAGTTCGAGTTGTAAAAAAATTCAGTACACAAGAAGCAGCTCTCTGTACATACTTTGCCAACTGCCATAGCATACTATCCTATGCAATACTTCTTTGGGGTACCCCTAGCTATGCTAGACAAGTCTTTATAATGCAAAAAAAGCCATTCGAGTATAATGTGACCTTGGCCCACTAACAAATTGCAAAGAACATTTTATAAAATGCAAAATTCTGACACTACCAGCAATATATATCCTCGAGTGTATCAACTTCGTTCATAAAAACTTGAATAAGTTTTCTACGATAGGCCAGTATCATAACTTCAATACCAGATACAAGAACAATTTAGAAACTCCACTTCACAAAACGAAAATAACACAACAGGGAGTAGACTACTGGGGTGCAAAACTATACAATAATCTGCCAAGGGAAGTTAAATCTAAACAAGCAGAAGAATTTAAAAAGCTGGTTAAAAATATGTTATTAGGCAAACCTGTATATAGTATTGAAGAATTCTTATTGTAACTAGTCTAGTTAAAAGAGAAGTTATGTTGTTTGTTAAAAATTTTTTTATATTTTACTTGTTATACACATATTTATTTATATTTAATTGACTTATTATTATTATTATTATGTAATTTTGATGCAATAATAAATGAGTTATGACTTGTGACTTACTTCGAGGGGTAAAGTTTCAATTCTTGTGTGTTTTGGGAAAGCATTCTGCCACAGAAATTGGTAAAAATTTTAAAAATTGTTGTTGCCCGGAATTTATTAGATAAGAAAAGATAAAAAGAAATTATGGCAAACTATAATTTATCCTTTTACGAGGCCTCTCAAAAAATCCCTGGAGGGTTCTCTTTGGGAGGTACGGAAAATATTGTGTGCTCGTCTTCATCTTTATTTCTAGGTAAGGAAGCCTGTTAACATAAAAAAGATTTTTAATTTCACCAAAATTGTAGAAAGTACTCCACCTAGGTCAATTAAAAGAACTAATTTTTATGACAATAATAAATTCAAATGGTAGCATACATGAATCCCCTAATTTATTATTTCTTCTAATAATAATAGCTTCACTCGTTCAGAAAAGGTTGGTATGTCAAGCAAAATTTTAAACAGCTATTTATTGAAATGTTTAATAGTAATCCCTGTTTAATTATCGAATTAGTAAAACAATTTGTAAGAATTGACTTCCCTGGCCTGGAGGGGCCAAATACATTTGCATTCTCTTCACAGCAGAACTAAAAATTTTGCACTGGAGCATTCATAGTGTATATGCGAAAAAGTCAGATTTAATGAATATTATTTCATTCCATTACCCAGATATTGTATCCCTTTCGGAAACTTGGATTAGACTAAACGATTCATTGTATGTGAGAGGATACATACCATCTTAATAGAGATGATGGCAAAGCTTTGTTAATTAATTTTAATTTTAAACAGATGTCAATAAATTTAACAGAGTTTGAAAGGGTCGGTATACATTCCTCCAAATGCGTTCATTAATAAAAGGTTGTTGGATAGAATCTTGCGTAGTTTAGGGCAAAGGTTTATATGGGTGGGAGATTTTAATTGTCACAACCAGGCGTGGATTAGTTGTGTAACAAGAATGGTAAGTTGCTTAGAGATTTTCTTTAACAAAATGACATTGTACTGTTTAATTATGGCAATCCCACCTTTTGAAGTCGAAGTGTAATTGACTTGGCTTTATGCTCATCCAATTTGGCATGTTTGGTAAAGGAAACTACCCTTGAGGATACCTTTGGTATTGACCATTTTTCACTTTTAATTTATGCAGAGATAGGTAGGGCTAGACCCAAGGTAAAAAATATATGTAGTTCTGTTAAAAAAAAGAACTTCAAATTGTCAAATTGGTAAGGTTTCGTCCACGACCTTAACGGTTCTCCCCCAGGCCTGGGCAGGAGAGGATTTTTATAGTAATTTTACTAAAAATCTAAGGTCAGCAAGTAACAAGAATATCCCAATAAAGAAATTTAGCTTTTCAAAAAAAATCTGTCCTTGGTGGGACAAGGAGTGCTCTGCTTGGATCGTTCGGAGGGCAGCGGCTGTCAAGCAGTTTTACAAGGATGGATTATTGACATCATTTATTAAGGCAAAAAAAATAATTGCGGAGGTAAAATTAAATCTTAAAAGAAAGAAAAAGACCTCTTTCATTAAGTTTGCCTCAAATCTAAATAGGGATAACAATGTATCTGAGGTGTGAAGGACAGTCAAATGTTATAGCAAGGCCTTTAACAGAGGAATCTTTTTTTTCAACTCTGATGATGCGTGGAAACCTACGTTTATTGACTCATTAGTTCCCCCCTCATGTGCGAATATACCTGAATTTTCTGAGATCAACTATCAGGGTTCGGGGGACTTTTTTAATTTACCTTATACAGGGTCCGGCAACAGAATTGAACGGTTTTAAAAATGCTGCTATGGAAATACTCTTGATTTGATATATGTCAAATAGTGACAGACTTGTACCTTATTGCCGAAAGTTTTGTGGCTGCTATGGAAATACT